CCAGCAGTTAAGAAGTGGAGGGAGGAGCGTCAAAGCAGCCTGTGCTACACAGACTCTGACAAGAGTTTGGGATGCAGCTGATGGCAGAGAACTGGTCCAGTGTGTGCAAGGCCCTGGGCTTCATCCCCAGTGTCTAAGGAAAATGCAGGAGTCCTCAGGTGGGATTCATGCATATATGTATTCAGACTGAGGAAGTGCAGGCTCTCTGGATGAGGTGTCCAGGGGAGGCCACTGGTGTGCTGTGGGTTACCTCTGGCCTCCTGATTCTGAGACAGTCTGTAACCCGATTTCTCTGTTGCACTATGAACTGTGTGCCTTCCGATAATTTGTTGTATACAGATCAGTGGGAAAAGTAGCACTTCGTGGGAACCAGGTGGACCTCCATTCTACTAGGCCCTTTGGCCTGCAAATGAGAAGTTACAGGTAGTTACAGGCAGGACAATGAGGACTGCTCACCCAATGTTGGCCTTTGAACCCCAAGGTGTTTCTGTTTGAGGGTTTGTTGGGGTTGCTCAGACTTAGATACCCACGATTTCTATTCTCCCTTAAATATTAAATGACTATTTTTCAAATAACTTCTTGTAGTGTTTCTTGTGTGCCGCATTCGTTTTTTCGTTCCTTCCCAGCTCCCAAAATACCGAGTCTTGAGTTCATTTACCTGATTTAGGGGGAAGGAAGAAGCAGATTTCTACTTCTAAATTTAAGTACTAAAATGTAAGAAACATTGTCTCAGCCGGGCAATGGTGGCACACGCCTTTAATCCTAGCACTTGGGAGGCAGAGGCCGGCGGATTTCTGAGTTCAAGGCCACCCTGGTCTACAGAGTGAGTTCCAGGACAGCCAGGGCTACACAGAGAAACCCTGTCTCGAAAAACAAAAAGAAACTTGTCTTCCACTGAATCCCCTCAAGATGCCACTCGCATGTTAGGTGTAGGGAATGCTAGATGTCTTGGGCCAGAGTGTGACTCAGGGCTTGCTGCCTTGGTGGCTATGTGGTTCTGCTCAGGACGTGAAGCTGGAATGGTTGTGCAGACTAAAGTGGAGGCAGGATGAGCTCAAAGACATCCCTGGGTCTGCAGCAGGGTCTGGGACAGCCTGAGACCCAAGCTCAAAAAGCAGAACACAACCAGTGGCCACTGTCCTCTGGGCTGGGCTTCAGCAGCAGAACTCTGGAGCATGCTGGCTCACATGTGGCCAGGCAGTGGCCAGGTCTCCCTGGGGCTCCTTGAAGACCCCTCCCTGCATTGACAGACCATCGGTTGAGCCAACTTTGTGTGAGCAGCACACTGGCAAGGAGGAAAAGTGTAGTACTTGCAGCTGATCGTTAGGGTAAATGTGTAGAGTGATCAAGATGGGCCTGGTGATCCCAGGGCTGAGACTAGTCTGGGCTACATGTGTAGCCCTGTCTCAAAAGCCAAGTCTGGTTGTGTCACATGGGAAAAAGGTGTGGCCCTGCCAGGCGTGGGAGTCTGGAAGCTGATGAGGGACAAAGGTCAGGTCCTTTTGTAAGAATTAGGGCTGTCTCAGATGTGGGGTCCTCAGCATGCTTTTCCTTTCCCAACCCTGTGCTAGGCAGGAGCTGAGGCTGTGGCGGAGTGCTTTGTGCCTGCTCTCTGTAATTTCTGGCTGCCTGTGGCTGCTAAGCACCAGGAGTGGGTCTCAGTTCCTAAGGGAAGAGACAGCCACTTTAATTTGTTCCATTTGGTCTTGTGTGAACAGGAACAGGTGTCACAGCCGTAGTCCAGTGTTCCTGCTGACCATCAGTTTGCTCCTAGAGGCTGTTACTAAGCTCCAGTTCTTAAAACCTGTTGGCTTGAAGGAAGCCCCCGGGGAGTTCATTTCCTGGGTTGACAAAAGGCTCCATCAGAACCAATATCAGAACCAAGGCTCTCCTAGTTTTGCTAAGGTGGACATGGGTAGTTGTGGACTACGGTCGTGAATGAGACCTGTAAGCTGGGGGCACCCTCCATGCTTTGAGAACATTCTGAGAACAAAGTTGTATGATAGTCTGTCCCTGCCAGAGGCCATTGGCCTGTGTTAGATTATGTACCTGCTGTGGCTGACAGATGGGAGGGACCCAGCTTGTACCTCAGACCAGGGATACGCGTTGGGAGAGCAGACTCCAAAAGGCCCCACAATCTCTGGGGTGAGCTCACTTGTCCTTTCCTGCCAGCCAGGAATACTCGGCTCTTGAACGTTCTAAGCTCAGTTTTTCAGAATTGGGCTTGCAGTAGGGGGAGAAGTTGAGATGGGGGGGTTCATCGCTGTTGAGGGACAGTGTCCGCCTTCCAGCTAAGTGGCATGGACAGGAGCCAAGGGCACATCAGAAGCTGCCAGACTTCCCTCCCTGGCCCTGGTGTTGGCCCACTGTCCCCAGACTAGCTGGAGGGCAGATTTCTTGGGTGGACCTGCTGGGCAGGGCTGGCAGCAGTAGGCTGGGAGTGGGCACAGAAGCCTGCTATGGTGGATGCTGATACCACAGCCATGGCACACCACACCCACCCGTCTACTCCGGTGATAAGGCTGAGGGAATCTCTTGGCTCTGACCCAGAGGGTGGAGTGTCTGGAGATGAAGCCTGACCCCTGTCAGCACCATCTTCTTCAGCCCTCACCGCTGACTCAGCAGCTGGACCCTCAGCATCTGCCCCGATGCTGATGCTGAGTCAGACCCTTCAAACAGCTGCACTGTGGGTGATTAGTGGGGTTTCTTCCACTTTTTAGGAGATGGGCAAGCCTGGGGTCTGTGTGGGGGTCACAGCCCGGGCAGAGCCTCGCAGAGCAGTGATGCTACTGCTGTGGAGATGACAGAGGCGCTCCTGTCCGGACCTGACTAGGAATACAAGTCAAAGCCAACATTTTGCATGGGGACAGGGAGGAGTCTGAACAGGGAAGGTTGTAGCTGAGTAGTTGAAGGTAAAAACGGTTCATCCAAGTCTCAAGATGAGGCTTGCTTTCTGTCTTGAGACCTCGGTGTCAGCATGACTTGGCTTGGCGTGATAGTTGACCTGGTGTCAGGCCTGTTTCCATGCAGTTAAGGCTTGCAGTTGTAGCCTATTCCAGTTCTGAGGTCCAGTTCCCTAGCATTCCCCCCATTGCAGGTGGTAGACCATTTGGGGAGGGAGGGGCTCGGGGGTCCCTCAGGTCTGGAGAGCTGCCTGCCTTGGGGCAGTGAAGCCTGACTTTCAGGCTTCCAGGAATCTTAGCCTGGAATGCTTGCTAGTACATGCTATCATCCCACCAAACCTGCAGCCCACACACAATGTACACCTTTTACATCAAGCTAATTCAGGGAGATCTGAGTTTCTGGCTGCCCATTCATTGTCACCAGACCACCTGGGTCTGGCTTTCTACCTCTATCAGCTGGTGCAGCACTGCCTTCCTGTGGTGAGTATGGGTATTACAGGGAATCCCAGCACAGATCAGTGGCCCATGTACCTCATGTGCCTGTCGTTTCCCATGTCCTCCTTTCTCTTATCCAAATCTCTTACCCTACTCTGTTCAAATGATGATAGGTGTACCAATATAGTTTATGGTTTTTGAAATTAAATGGAGCTCCAGTGTGGTGGTGCACCCTTGTCAAACCAAGACAAGGAGTGGAGTTAGGAGGATGGTGAGCTCGAGGCCTGCCTGAGATACATCGTGAGCTCAAGGCCAGCCTACGCAATTTAGTGAAGTTCCTACCTCAAAATGAAGACGAGGGTTGGATGTAGCTCTGTGGTAGAGTGCTTGCCTGTCATACATGAAGCCCTGGCTTCAATCCTCAGCGTTGCAAACAAACACAAAAACCCAACCATTCTGAATCTGGATTCCCTATCCAGGAGCTGTAAGGAGTTAGTCAAGTTGGGGAGCCCACCCCAGAAAAGGACTCAGCAGGACTCGTCCCTTCCCGGCTTCTCTTATAGCTGGTGGGCCTGCTGGAAAGATGGGCTACCCTTGGGTGCATAGGGGAGGGGTCTGTTTAGGGCTTAGTGAGATCCTCCCATTTGTCTGTGTATTGTATGTGGGTGGTGTTGGTGTTCATGTACATATATACACATGCATGGGGAGGCCCAAAGTTGATGTGGAAGGCCATCTTCAAACCTACCTTACTCAGGCAGTGTCCCTCAAACCCAGAGCTTACTGATATGGCTAGTCTTACTAGCCACCTTGCTCTGGGGAGCCTATTTCTGTGACTTACGAGGTTGGAATTACAGGTGTGCCACCCTGCCCAGCCAACACTTGTGTGAGTTCTGGGAATCCAAACTCTGGTCCTCATTTTTGTGAGGCAACTCCTCATAACATCAGGGCCATCTTCCCATGCCAACACGATGGCTTTGCCGGTTGCCCGAGGCGTCTAGGGGAAAAGGCTGTGGGGCTGCTGGAGGGGAGCACAGAAGCCTAGAGACATGGGCAAAGGGAGCTTGAGCAAGACTGAAGCCAAAGCAGGCCAAGGAAACCTGCTAGGAGCTGACCAGAGGACATCTGCAGCCCACGCTGCAGAGACCCGAGCTTAAGACAGGGCCATGCTCTCTTGGCTTGGCACTTAGTGATGTGGGTACTGGTCTCTGGGGGAGCAGGTGTGAACCTGGATGAGGGGGGGGTTATACAGGTGAGGCGTGGCTAACAGGTTTTCCTAAAGGGGCAGAAGCTGGAGCTGATGACCAGGGGCTAGGAAAGAGGTGAGTAGGGGTGCTGTGGTGTCTACAGTCAGTCAAAGGAGGCTCACTCCACTCCTCCCCAGGAAGATACCAACCAGCACATGCTGTGACCCGGGCTTATGTAGGTGCCATGGGCACCATCCATGGGCAGAACAGAAGAGAGTGGAGGGTGTTTTCACTCACTACGACTCTTGAGTGGATATGGGGGGGGCACACGTACACACATATATATACGCATACACACACACACATACATGCACACATACATACATACATATACAGATATACATACATACAGTTATACACATATACAAATATATGGACACATACACACACATGCACACTGATGTGGCTTTATTGCTGACTATAGTCCAAGGCCCAGGCGGCGGTAGTAGAATAGCTCGTGATGGCACACGGGACAGGAGTGGGTCACATCCATGAGGCTCTGCATGCAGAAGGGAAGGAGGCAGCAACCCAGGACGCACCTGCAGCCTCAGAAGCAGTATGTGTTCACCTGAGCAGGGTCCCCATGCTGGCCTGCACCCTCCTCACACCTGAGCGGGGTCCCCGTGCTGCCCTGAACCCTTGTCATACTTCTGGGTGGGTCTCAGTTCTTTGGGGGTGGTTCTTCAGAGCTGGGCTGAGAGCTTTGCTGAGCCCTCTCTTTCTTGGCAGTAGTAGCAATGGCAACCTGTCTGGAGCCACTTGCCCAGCAGGTGGGGATTGCCTCAACTCCCATCCACTGCCTCAACCACCCCGCCAGAGGGTCTCCCCTGAGAGAAGACACCAAGCCCAGTCTGGGACCTCCCTTTGTCCCTAGTTCTCTCTGTACTCAGACTGACTGCAGCTGAATCTCAGCCCACCCCGTCTCTAGCATGCACGCCCCCACTACTTTACCCAAACACAAAGAGGCCACTGCACAGCAGCCAGGTGAGGAGGCCTGGGAAAGGGGTTGTCACTGTCATAATATGATTCCCACAGTAGGGACATACAGTCTGCACCGGCACAGAAGTTGTCACACGAGGCATGCCAGTGAATAGGCCTGGGGGTTGGCAGGGAGAGATAGATCAGATCAGAGTGAGTTCCAGAACAGCCAGGGCTACACAGAGAAACCCCGTCTCAAGAAACAAACATTCAAGACCCTCAACAAGTTCACAGTAGAGAAGGGATGTCTCAGAAACTCTTGGTATGGCACCACCCTGTGTGAGCAGCTCTCCACCTACAGGAGGAGGTTCACCAGAGAAGGTGCCGTGTGCTTGGTGAATGGCCTTCTGGGAGCCTGAGCAGGAGACACAAGGAGGAGAGGCAGCTTCCCTACTTACCTGTTTGGATTATTGGTGGGGCTTGGGTGTACATGGGGTATGTTCCAGGTAATCTTGGTCCTCTTGTGCCAGGAGGGTAATAAGGAGGTGGTGGCTCCCTAGACTGCTGAAACTCTGAAAGAAGCAAGAAGCAAGGCCCCAGGGCTCAGATTTGCCAGCTCTGAGCCACCACATGGTTGCCACTGCCACCACAAGCTAAGTTGCCCACAGTCACATACATAGGAGGTGGAGGGACCAGGATTTGAACTCAGGCACTTCTGTCTCTGCTTATGCTCTCCTTGTCCACAGGGAGAGTGCTGTTAGAGGTCTGAGATGCAGCCACACTGGGCCAAACAGGAAACATGGTTCACCAATCTATCACTGAAGCATCTATCACTGAAGCATCAGTTGGATATTGCAGGCAGGGAGGCTCAGGAAGGTTGAATACCTTGCATGAGGTCACTCAGTAAGTAAGTATTAGAGACCAGGTAGATTTCTGACCAGAGGCAAGGGACCTAACCTCAGCATGGGCTCTGAAGTCAGGGTATTTAAGTTTCATCTGTGGCTCTGATGCTTTTTGTAGCAGGAAGGAAGTTGAGACAAGGTGTATGCTCCCTGGGAGGGTCCGACCCTTCTGCCTTGGCCTGTCCCCCATGTCCAGTTTATGCAATGCTGACAAACCCAGGATGTGGTGCATGCTAAGTTCTATACCAACTGTTGCATGTCCAGCTTTATTTTTTTAGTTCAAATCTCATTTAGACTGACCTGGAACTTGCAACAATCCTCCTGCCTCAGTACCTGGAATGGATTTCTGGGATAAACCACCACCCACCCAGAACAAAACACTTTTTTTTTTTTTTGAGACAGAGTTTCTCTGTGTAGCCTTGGCTGTCCTGAAACTTGCTCTCTGTAGACCAGGCTGGCCTCTAACTCACAGAGATCACAGAGATCCACCTGCCTCTGTCTTTCAAATTCTGAAATTAAAGACGTGGCTTTTTTTTTTTTTAAGCCATCATGATCTGGGATGAACAGGAAGAAGATTCCCATTGAGTTTTTATGTATAACCTTTAGGTGCCTGCAGGTGACCTGGATTTGATCACCAATAGCCTGACCCCATGCAAGAAAGGAGCTAGTGGTTAATAGTGGGTCTGGGGCTCTCTCTGCTCAGAGTTTTCCCTCAGAGTCAACTTTCATGCCTTCCTTTCATAGTTTCCTGTACAGTGTCCTTCCAGAGCAGCACCAAGCAGAATAGGAAGCCCCTGACCGTGCAGCCCTTCTGTCTCCACTTTGAGGACTAGAGATGTCTCAGCCATGAAGACCTAGAAGCTCTATCTGGGGCTAGATTTTAGCCTTTTCTTACAGAGAAGAAACTAAAGGTCAGGAATGAAGCACATGTGGCTAGTACTAGCTAGAGTCAACCATTTCAAGCTGGGTCAAGGTGCAGCTGAATAGCCCTGGGTCCTGTGTTTTACTTCACTTTGTTTTATTTTATTTGAGATAGAGTTTTTCTATGTAGTCTTGGGATCCAATTATGGAGACCTCCCTGCTTCTGCCTCCTGAGTACTGGGATTAACTGTGTATGCCACTTCATCCTGGACCCTCTTGACCATTTATTTACATGGAGTCAGCAGGAATTCCAAAGAGGAATCAGTTCAGGGGGGATCAGACACCTTCCCTGGCCACCTCAGCGTAGAGGCAGCTTCACCTCCTGGCCCCTGCCCTGGCGATGTGCCATACTACCTGGAGGTTGTACTGATGTGGAGCTTGGCAGATTTTGTGTGATGCTTTAGGAGAGAGAGCAGGATGCTGGAGGCCCAAGCTGTCCATTGTCCCTACCAGGTCATCTGGGCAGTAGGGGTCAGGGAAACTTAGGAGATGGGTTTAGCCCCTAGGCCAGCACATTGTCCCTCCCACCTCGCATTCCCTCAGGCTCTCAGTCAGCCCGAATGAGGCCCCTCACCATGGTTGTGGTTCTCTTTGGGTGCCATGAAAGTTCTTTGCTTCAGAAGTACTCCTTGCGCAGACTCAATGGGTTCTAGGTTCTGAGTGGACAGGCCCCAGGTTCCAGAAGTTCCCTTGGAGAGGCCCCGCTGGGGAGAAAGGAGGGCTCTTACAGCTGCCACAGCCATTGTGATGTCTTTGGTGCACAGTGCAGGGCATCTTGTGTCCACCTCCCTCTGGAGGGGGTGTCTGCCCATGACTCAGCTTGAGGGACTCTTGCATACCCACTACTGCCCTGCTCCCACGAGCAGGTTCAAGCTTTGCGAGATGGGTAGGGAGACCAGCTAAGACATAGGAGTGTGAGTCATGATGGAGACGCTCGCCACAAGTGTCCTTTCAATTAGAATGCAGGTAAGTGTGGACCCAGGCCTGGTGTCACCGGCATGTGTGAAGTCTTCACACAGCACTTCAGAGGTTGAGGCAGGAGGATGGAAAATTCAAAGCCATTCTGGGATATGTACTGAGTTCTTAAGAAGGAAGGAAGGAAGGAAAGAAAGAAAGAAAGAAAGAAAGAAAGAAAGAAAGAAAGAAAGAAAGGAAGGAAGGAAGGAAGGAAGGAAGGAAGGAAAGAAGGAAGGAAGGAAGAGAAAGAAGGAAGGAAGGAAGAGAAAGAAAGAAAGAAAGAAAGAAAGAAAGAAAGGAAGGAAGAAAGGAAGAAAGGAAAGAAGGAAGGAAGAGAAAGAAAGAAAGAAAGAAAGGAAGGAAGAAAGGAAGAAAGGAAAGAAGGAAGGAAGGAAGAGAAAGAAAGAAAGAAAGAAAGAAAGAAAGAAAGAAAGAAAGAAAGAAAGAAAGAAAGAAAAGAGAAAGAAAGAAAGAAAAAGAAGAAACAGGGAGTGCACATCTGGAGTTAACTTTGGCTGACTTCTTGCTTGTGATTATTCAGGAATGAGTCTGCCGACATCTATCTTTGTTTTTAGTTAAGATGGGCTAGTGCTTGAAAGGTAGACACAGGAGGATCATTGTAAATATGAGTTCAAAGCTGGTTTGGGTCTTAATAGTGGGTTCCACATCAGCCTGAACTACATTCAAAATTCTGTCTCAGAGCAACAACAGGGCTAGAGAAGTGGCTCAGTTTGTAGAGTAATTGCCAAGCACAAAGTCGGGGATTCCGGCACTACAGAAGCTAGATGTGGTGACACACACCTATAAACCAGAACCAGAGAGGTGGAGGCGGGAGGATCAGGGGTTCAAGGTCATCTTCAACTACATAGTGTTCAAGGCCAGTTTAGGCTATAGGAGACATCGTCTCAAAAAAAAACAAAAATAAAGTCTGGTCACGGGGTCTAGACCTACATACACGCAAACCTGTGTGTGCCTTCTCTGAGTCCAGTCAGCCTCCCCTGCTGATTTAGCTCCAGGAACCCAGGGAAAGCTTACCTCTCCCTACCTCTGTCCCTCACCTTGCATCTGTAGGATGGATATAATCACAACCTTGTAGGGGCTTTGTATGTTTGTGAGATAGAGCTTGAACTTGCTCTGTAGCCTAGGCTGGCCAGGCACTTACAATCTTCCTACCCCAGATCCTAAGTGCAGAAGCCTTCTCCCAGTGATTCTGGCTGCTCTCAAAGTGGCACCACACACAGCATTCTCATTTGAGGCAAGCACTCTACCCACTGAGCCACATCTCCAACATGAGCGGTTGGCCAATGCCTGACATCTTTTGCTATAAGGAATTTAAGCATCCAAAACCATGGGTGGTGGCAGTCATGGAAGTAATCCGTCTCAGGTGCCTGGAGACAGCTGTGACAGTGATGATGAGGGTGGGATTAAGCTGGAAGTACTGTGAGCTACTCACTGCACAGTCATTTTGGTATCTCTGCACATCTGTTTTTGTTTTGTTTTGTTTGTTTTGTTTTTCACGACAGGGTTTCTCTGTATACCTCTGGCTATCCTGGAACTCACTCTGTAGACCAGGCTAGCCTTGAACTCAGAAATCCGCCTGCCTCTGTCTCCCAAGTGCTAGGATTAAAGGCGTGCACCACCACTGCCCAGCATCTCTGCACATCTCAATATTGTAAATTTAAGTTAATGTACAAAATGAATGAGTATTTGAACTTCATGTTGTTGTTAGACAGGGCTCAAACTTGTTACGCAGCTGAAAGTGATGAACTCATCTTCCTGCCTGCACATCTCAAGTGCTGGGATTATGGGAATACACCACCACAACTAGTTCTATGTGGTCCTGAGACTAGAATCCAGACACTTGTGCACACCCAGTATCCTTAGTTTCATTTCTGTTGCTGTGATAAAACACCCTGACAAGAGCAACTTAAAAGGGGTAGGTTTATTATAGCTCCAAGTTCAAGAGACGGCCTACCACAGCAGAGAAATCAAGGTGGCTTGAAATGGCTGGTCAGGCCAAGTCTACAGTGAGGAAGAGACACCTGCATGTGATCTCAAGTCTTTCTCTGTGTCTGCAGCTCAGGATCCTGCCAGGGCATGGTTGTCCCTGATTGTGGGCAGGACTTTCCACCCCAGTCAAGGTAATTTCCCACGGGCATGCATGCTCAGAGACCATTCTACCAGATGATTCTAGATCCGGTCTCATTGACAACAGTAACCACTAACTGCATTAGCCAAGCGATCTGCCAAATGACAAGTCCAGCCTTTGAGTATTTTATGACAATAAAAAAATTTAAATTTAGATAAATAATTGAGAAAAACAAAAACAATGGAAACAACAACAGGTAAAACTAACAGAATGTCAGTTTTGTTGGTTTTGTTTTTTTTTTGTTTTTGTTTTTTTAAGACAGGGTTTCTCTGTGTAGCCCTGGCTGTCCTGGAGCACCCTCTGTAGACCAGGCTGGCCTTAAACTCAGAGGTCTGCCTGCCTCTGCCTCCTAAGTGCTGGGATTAAAGGTTTGTACCACTTCTGCCAGCCAGATGCCAGTTTTAGAGCACCGTTTCCATTCATTTGTTTTGTTGTAGGCAGAGTCTTGCTGTGGAGCCCAGGCTCCCCTTGATTTTGTGCCAGTCTTCCTCTCTCAGCCTTTGAGTGCTGAATTACATTTTGACTCTATGCCATGATTGCCTGAGTTCTTGGCTAGACTATCCAGACTTCCTTTTGTGAGGCTTTGGGAATGAGTCAGGGAGACCATTCAGTTTCTGCTCTTAAGTTAACTTGGACATATAAGCCTAGTGGGTGGAGGGTAGCTATGGGTTGAATGTGAATGAATGAATGAGTGAGTGAGAATGAGATACATACCCCCTCTCATCACAGCATGCCCCATTCTGCCTGGAGTCCCCTGGATGCCATGGTCTGAGGTCTAGAGTTCTTGTGTCCACTGGAATGTCACATCTTGGGATAGAAATGGCATACCTGCTCTAAGGATCCTGTACTTGACACAGGGTCTCATAGATCTCAGGCTGGCCTCTGACTCAGAGATTACAGGCAGTCAGCCCTCTGAGGTTTGTGCAGCGCTGGGGATCTAACCCAGGGCTTCACGAATGCTATGCAAGCACTCTACCATGCTAGCTACACCCACAGTGTAAGGATTTTGAGGGTCTCATTCCCTCTGACATAGGCTTGGGTTTCATGAGCTGGGTATGAACTAGGAAGTATGAATTATGAATGGAGAGAGCAACAAGACTGTGTGCCCTGAGCATTCCAACTCTCACCACCAGGGGGAGCACCAGCATGTCATAAATCAACCTAGAGCTTCCAGTTGCCTTGATGGTAATTCCCTCTCTCATCCAATAAAACCCTAGACCAGGCTAGGAGAGGTAAGGAGTCCTAAGAGGGGTTGAGAAGCCAGCCCAATGTCATGACAGGCTACATCACAGCCTGCTAAGGCTGTTTAACCCCATCTTCCAGCCTGCTCATTCTTCCTCCCAGAAGGGCCCAGTGAGGAAGGAGGACTCGGGAATGTGCTATAACTATTGAACAGGGCACACTATGTGAGCTAGGTATAGGAGGGGCTACAGAAGGTCAGAGAGGACTCCCCTGGGGGAGGCACCAATGAGATGACTTACTTAGTATGGGGGAAATACCACTTAGTCCAGAGCAAGCACAGGGTCTTTTTAGAGGAAAGAACACAGAGCTGTAATGAGTAGAGGGAAGGCAACTGGGAAGATCTGGGGGTGGGGGGGAGTTCCAGCAGAAGGGACAGAAAGTATAAAGGCTCTAAAATGAGCCAGTCCATAGCGGTACATGCATGTCTTTAAGCCCAGCACTTAGGAGGCAGGGGCAAGCAGATCTCCGTGAGTTTGTTAACCTGGTCTTTATCAGTAAGTTCCATGTGCAGCAAGGAGGGTGCAACCGCCTGGTGCACAATGAAGCTCAAAACCAGGCAGCCACAGTTCATCCTGGGCCACACTGAGGAGTGTAGCAAATGTAGTTGAAAAAGCAGTAGGGGTCGGCTAGATGGCTTAGCAGGTAAAGGTGCTTGTGTGGCCAAGCCTGACAACTTGAGTTCAATCCCTGGCCACATACACCCACTCCTATGACACACAAAATAAAAATGTAATAAAAAAAGCAAATCACCATCATCATCTATAGGGGAAGCAGACTGGCCATGTGTCACACTGGCGTGTCCACAGTGCAAACACTGTACTGATGTAGGGGTCGACCACAGTATCCCTTTTGCATATCAAGAGCCTCAGGAGACCAGATTCCACACCTGCCCACTTGCCCCCTCCCCTGCTCCCCGTTCCTGCCTTCACTCAGATGGACTGGATCTTCCTCACCCTGGTCACTAAAGTGATGTGGTGCCTTTAAAATAATCAGAGACACTCAGGCATGGTGGCATATGCTTGTGATCCTGGTGTATAGGAGGCTGAAGCAAGAGATCGCAAGTTTGAGGTCATCCTCAGTTACCGAACTGATCAAGGCCAGCCTGGGCTACATGAGACCCTGTCTCAAATAGAGGCTCAGAGCGGGTGAAGGCACTTCCCATGTAAGCCTGGTGACCTGGGTTCAATCCCTGGAGCCCATGTAAAGGTGCGGAGTTGTTCTCTATCCTCCAGAGCATGTGTGGTTCAGGTACCCACCACCTCTCTCTCCCTCTCCCTCTTATACACACGCATGCACGCATACGGGCATGCACACACGTCCGCGCGCGCACACACGCGCGCACACACACACACACACACACGAATTTGAGGAATGCTAGGCATGGTGGTATAATACTTGCAATCTCAGTACTCAGGATGCTGAGGCAGGAGGATTGTTTTAAGTTTCAGGTCAGGAAAATCGTAAATTTCAGTCAGTCCATCCTCAGCTATCTAGTGAGTCTGAAGCTAGTGTGGGCCACATGAGAGTCCATCTGATCAAAAATAAAACAACAAAAACAGCCTGACTCGGGCTGGAGAGATGGCTCAGTGGTTAAGAGCACTGACTGCACTTCCAGAGGTCCTGAGTTCAAATCCCAGCAACCACATGGTGGCTCACAACCATCTGTAGTGAGATCTGATGCCCTCTTCTGGTGTGTCTGAAGACAGCTACAGTGTACTCATATATAATAAATAAATAAATCTTTAAAAAAAAAAAAACAGCCTGACTATTACAGTGCTTTCCTGTTTCTGAAATTGGTGCCTGGGTTCACAGGACCCGGAAGATGGAAGACTGAGTCCTTGTCTTGGGTCCCACATCAGGGATGTGGTGGTGTTATGAGACATCTCAGCCTAGCTGGCCCCAGCTTCCCTGGAAAGTCCACAAATTGTCTTGACTATCAATTTCAGAATTAGAGGTAAAAACTGGTGGGGTCCAGTTAGGTAGAGTCCGGCCTTCCACAGGTCCTTAGTCCCACAGATACAAGCGTGGAAGCAGTGCTGAGAGCCTCATCTGTAGGCCCCATGCCTGCTCCTCATCCCTGGCCACCTACCTCAGGGAAGGAACCCCTCATCAGAAGCAACTAACCCACCCCATCCCAAGTACCTCACACTTTCTTCAAATGACCCCTAGAGGGAGGTGTTGAGCCATGAACAGGTGAGAGGGAGCACGAACTGAGAAAAGAGTTCGGGTCTAGTTCTCCTTTCTTGGCTATCCATTGACGGTGCCCAGTGTTCTGCAGGACCTGCCTAGTGTTCATCCAAGTCTCTGCCCTCTGGGATGGAGACAAGCTGGTTGGCTTATTTCGTGTACCAACATCCTGTAAAAGTCTGGCATGAAGTGACATAGACCAGAATATAGCAGGGCTGGGGAGAAATGGCTTAGTGGGTTACAGTGAATGCTCTGTGAGCAACAGGGTCTGAGTGGGAACCCTCAGCACCCAGAGAACCAGCCAGGCGTGCCCGTTTATACTTGAAATCCTGGTAACTGAGGTTGAGATTAGTGACTCCTGAGGGATGAGCTAAAATGGCAAGAGTCTAGATTAGTGAGACCCTGCTGCAAAACAATGAGGCAGAGAACAGAGGACGACAGAGTGCCCACCCTGGCACTGAACACCTGGAGGATCCCAGGAGAGCTGCTGGTCTTTGGTCCAGATTGGAAGGTGGAAGACACTAGGTTCTGATGTCCATGAGGATGGCCAGAAGCGGCAACAGGAACAGAGCAGATGCACCCACCATGGAGACAGGAAGGCAAGCTAGCAAACCCCAAAAGGTTTTACTGCTGCCTCCAATTAGGGTGGCCTTCTCATTTCAATTCCCCTAACCAAGAAGATGTGCACAAAGACTTGTTTCTTAGATGACTGCAGATCCAGTAAAGGTGACAGCCATGATTAATACTCATACTGGGTCACAGGAGACTCCACCTCAAAAATAAACTGACCACGGCTGGGTCTGGCAAAGCTTATGTGATGATATACTTCAATCTCTTGGGCGCATGCCTGGTGAGAGCCCTTCTCTTTACGTGAGGAGTTGGCTTCCTTGGTTTTGATGGTTCAGCATGCCCTGGGGATGGGGTTGGAGGGTCTCAGCAGGGATGAGATATCACATGGAATCCTGGGGCCTGCTGCCTACCACACCTATAGGGGACCCCTTTCTCACATCTAGGAAATATGAACCTGACCTTGGGGGGGGTCATGATGAGGGCCTGCTCTCTATGTTGGCCATGGAGATAGATCACAGCACGTCGCTGTGCCTCAGTTTCCGTTTCTGTAAATTGGAAGAAACACCATTTACCTTCACAGATAAAATATCTTAATTAAGGATTTCTATTGCTTCGATGAAAACACCATTGATCAAAAAGCAAATTGGGGAGAAAGAGGTTTAGTTGGTTTACACTTCCATGTTTCTGTTAATTATTGAAAGAAGTTAAGACAGGAACAGGGTAGGAGCTGATACGGAGGCCATGGAGTATTGCTACTTACTGGCTTGGTCTTCATGGCTTAGTTAGCCTACTTTCTTATAGAACCCAGGACCATCAGCCTAGGGCTGGGCCCCTCCCTTATTGATCACTAATTGAGAAGATGTCCTACAGATGGGTCTCTGGAGGCATTTCCTCAACTGAGGCTCCTTTCTCTCTGATTCCTCTAACTTGTGTCAAGTCGACACACAAAACCAGCCAGTACATAAAGCTTCAGGGATTCAGTAGAAATGAAAATTGAAAAAAGGTGGGGTTAGTGCCCACGCCCATCTCAGATCCATTAGGGAGACTGAGGCTAGCCAGTCTCAAAATCAGCCCACGGAGAACGAATCAATTAGACAATAGGAAACAAAAACAACTCTTCCCTCCTCCCTTGTTTTTATGTTTCTCTTTCTGCCTCTCGCCTTTCTTCTGGCTTGTAATTCTTGAAAAAAAAAAAAAAAGGCGCCCGCTTATCTTGAGTCAAGGGCAGGTTGGGGCGGGTCTTGTGCTGGGGAGTGGCAGGCACAGCACGCCGAGACCCGATTGTGCCACTTTCCCGGGCACCGGGCCGGCGCTGGGCGTCCACAGACCCGCGGGGGGCGGGGAGAACACCTCCTGCCCGTGCGGAGTCCCGGGCGCGCGCCCGCGGGACATCAACACAAAGGTCCCGTGGCAGCAGCTGAGCCGCGCTCCTCCTTCCGGGCTGGACCATCCAGGCTCAGGGACGCGCGTCCATTGGCCCGGAACTCAAAGGGGCGTGGTCCCACACTCCGCCCTGCCCCGCGGCCACGCCCCCAGTCCCTGCTCTATTCTTGCAGTCGAAGCGCAGCAGCTGGAGGAGTTAGACGTGTCACCAGGTAAGCGGCTGGTCCCGGGACCCTAGGGAAGGGCGTGGTGGTGCGCGGGATCCCCGGAGCCGCGCGGATGGGGCCAAGGCCTGCTCTGCTCTTTTGCTTCTCTTCTGTGGCGCCTTATCGTTCTCCAGCTCCGTGATGGGTCCCCCCGGGACATGCCCCAGTAGCCTGGGCTAGTTTGGGGAACGCGGGTTATTCACCGTCCCTAAAGGGAGACGGGTGGGTGTGGCCGCAGCAGCGATCCTTGTCTGACTTCGGTTAGTACTTCTCGTTGGGCCACCTGTTTTTGAGCGTAGGCGGCGCGCCCTCCCCTGTGCTTTCCGGCGCGCTGGAGGTGCTTGGGACTCGCGGTTAGAGGAAGGCGGAGCTGTCCCCGACAGCCGGGCCTCGCCAGCTGCTTGCTGGGCAGCAGGACAGTAGCCAGGCCCGGAGAGGGGGAACCGCCCTGACCCCTCGCGGTTGGCGGCTTCTAGGGAGGAGGAGCGGCTGGGCGCGCTCACTTGGTGTTTGCGCCAGGATGGGGGCCTTAGGGCATAGAGGAAAACTTCACCCGCGCTGGCGGTCCTGTTTACAGGCCGGAAATGCAAGGTTGGGTTTTGATGATGATTATTATTTTTTTAAGCCAGGCAGTGAGTGAGCTCACAGTTTTTCTGGGGTTGCAGTTTAGGTCTGTGCAGGGTGAACTGTAGATTCCCCCTTCTGCAGGGCCTGGATTCTGAGAGGTAGAGGTGCCTCTTTGCAAAATAGGAGACCCCCCCCCACCCCCACCGACTGGAATATATAACCTTTTCTTCCAGAAAGGGGTGTATGCAGGAATAGAGGGAACTGGCTAGCTTAAGTGCCTGGAGAAATAGGGGCTTATTTTTTCCTTCCCCTCCTGACCATTCTTTTACTTCTTGGTGCTTTTAGTCTGTTCTCCAAGCTGAAGCCAGAGGGAGCGTATGAAAAATAGTTGATTCATTAAACCAGTAGTGGTGGGTTATGCCTGCAGTCCCAGCACTCGGGAGGTAAAGCGGGAGGGGTCTGGATTCAGGCTCATCCATAATTAGTTCAAGGCCAGCTGCTGTAAAGAACTTCCACCTGTAACTCATTCCCAGCATCGGGGAGGCTAAGACAGAAGAATTGTCCTCATTAGCAAGAACCCTCAAAACACCAAACTAGTTAAAAACATGCATTTAAAATTGGTCCCCAAATCTGTGTCCTATGTTCCTGCTCTTTGTCCTATTAGGCTCAAACTTTTCCACAGGGCCTTCTCTAGCTGCTTTGTGACTCTGACTCTTCAGTCTATCCCTAAGTAATCCTTAAGTCTCAGCTCAGCCATTCCCTGCTCTGGGACAGGGGTCTCCTCAGTCTGGCCTCCCTCCTCCATCTCCTCTTGGGTGACAGTCTGGTTGCCACTATGTGCGTCTTTACGTTGTCTCACCCTCCAGGGTGATCATGAGCTGAGTTGGGGTCGGCCCAGCCTAGGCTTGGAGGAACTAACTGGCTTTCTTAGACCAGCTGAATGCAAGGCTAGAATTTGGTTTGTGCCTCATATCTGGCAGCTGTGGGGGGAAGGGTTCTTCCCATGGCCCTATTGTGACCATGCACACCACAGGGCCACTATTGTTAAGCTCACCTTCTGCTCTGCAGTGTGGCTGGCACTGCCTCTATAGCTTTGAGCTACTGGGATTTACGAGGTCCTTGTCAAACTGAGGCAGGGAGTAGTAGGTCTAGGATGGAAGACAATCAGGCTGGGAGGTGAGCAGATGTGGGGGAGGGTGGAGCAATTCAGGGCTAGGTTTGGTGGAGAACAGGGGTCCTCTTGGCCTGCCCTGTGGGATGACGTTATTAGAAGAGACTGCTTTGGGTTTCTGGACTCTAATCTGGAGCTTTCAGCTTCCTGGCAGTTGAGGGCGGGGTTTCCCAGCTGGGCTGCTGGAGGGAACCGCGCAGTCTAATCCTGGGCTGTTTGCTCTTCTCTGTTCCGTGGCCCCGCCCCTGATATCCCCCCCCCCCCCCCACTATAACAGAATCCACTCTTCCCAGAACAATGGAGCAGCATGTGGCTGGCTAGCCTGGCTGCTGTGAGTCTCGGGCTCCCCCCACCCCCCACCCTGTGCCTTCCAGGATCCCTGTGTCCTGTTTAGTCTTTATCTTCTCTTGGCTGTGGGCTCTTTTCTGCTAGTCTGGTGGGCTTGGGGTTGAAATCTTATGAAGCCCTGGCCCAGTGCAGTTTGTATGTGCTGGGTGAGTATGTCCGTCCATGTGTGTTCCCCTCCCCAAGATGGCCTGCTTCTTGGGAGCTGGGTAGTTTAGCGGCAGCTGTCCCTCTGGGAATCCCTTAGAAAGGCAGACTTTGGAAAGGGCCTGTGGGAGCTGCTCAGTGCAGAGCCAGAGATCCTGGCTTCTGAACACCAAAGAAGCAACCTTGGTCCGTCTCCAGCTAACTGACCAAGCAAAGCCATGTTAACACCACCCACATCTGTGGAGTTGGAGTTCACTTTTTAGACATTGGCCAGAGATTCCTGGGGGCACTAAAGTGTGAGAAGCTCCAGCTGCTGAATCTATTGTCAGTTTCTTCATGTGACATGGTGAAGTGTCTTCCTGTCAGGTTAGCAGGAAGGGGACTCTCTTATCTGGTGCTTATGAAGCCCCTATGACATCAGAAAAAGCATTGGTTTCTCCCTCCACGGCAGAGTCTCTGATGTTTTAGCCCTTTGCCTGAATGTGACCTGAGTCTTTAACTCACCCACCAGTGGCCAGGCTCTAGGCTGGAAAGAGCCAGCACAGTGCCTAGCAGTAGCCACAAACCCAACAAGAGTCTAGATAGCTCAGTGTGCAGAATAAGCTTCAAGAGGTCTGGCTTGCCTCCAGCCAACTCAAGCTGTTTCTCCACCCTTCATTTTCCTGCCCTCGAGGGGCTATAAACCACACTTGTTTCACTGAAGTGTAAAAGGCCTCCAGCATGTCTAGGTTCCTCTGGTAAGCACCTGACTCCCACCTCAAAAGATCCTTCCTTGCTGGGTGTGATGGCTCACAACACACTTGTAATTCCAGTACTAGGGAGGCTGAGGCTGGAGGATTACCATGAGTTTGAGGCCAATTTGGGCTATGCAGTGTTAAGACAGTCTCAAAAATCAGAAAGGGGGGGGGGGTTGACATGTAAACAGGGAGCTTTCAGGCCTAGAGCATAGAAGGTGCTGGGCCTGACAAGTTGGTACATGGAAAGCAGCACTAGATTTTGGGGTGGGCTATAGAGGGGCTGCAGAGGCCAGACTTGTGCCCAGTTGAGCTCCCAGAATCTTCCAGGGCTTGCTATAAGGCCTGTGGAAAATTCCCAGGCTATTTTCGGCTAGAGGCCCCCTTTGCCACATGCCCTCTCTGGTGTATAGTCAGAGTGGGTGTGGCATTCTGTCCTCCAGACCCTGGCTGTCTGTCAGAGGGGTGCATTTCTTATCCTGCCATGGGTTGAACCATGTGTCCCACCCCCCAAGTCAGCATTAGAGGATCCCGTGGTTTCTTGCTGGTACTAGGGGATGCTTCTGGGCTTGATGTCCACAGCTGAAGATGGGGGTCAGTGCTCACCTAGTATTCAGGAACCCCTAGGTGGGATCCAGCTGGGCACTGTCTGAAAACAACAGAGGGGCCAGGTGTTGGAGGGGAAGCCAGGCCCTGCCCACCCTCCATATATATGGTCACTTGGTCATACACTCAGAAGCACATCACCTCACATAATTTTGCAGATGTATGTTCATGTGATCATGTACATAAACATGCCTCTTCATACATATGCATATGCACATTACATGTTTACATACAGAAAAACACACGTGTACCTCATCCGGTCATGACATCATCTTGAACATTTCATTTGTCAGAATTTGTCTCAGGCAGAGGCTCACTAGGGTCTAGTCCTGAGCCTCTGCAGACGAGAGCCACACCTGGTACTGCCGAGAGCCTGCAGAGGGCTGGGGTGGGAGCCGCAAGCTACAGGCTGTTGCTGAGGCTGTGCCCTGGTGTGTGCAGGGCCAGAGAGGCCTCCTGGATAGCCCTACCCCAACCCCAGCTGGACTTTGTCCCCTTCCTGGACCAGCTGGGGTGGGCTGGCTCTGACAAGCCCAGCTTCCTTTCAGCGCAGGTAGCCTCTGGAGCAGCCGTTTGGGGAGCAGAGCAGCTCTTTGGGTCTCCTGGCTCCCACCCCCACCTCAGGGGCTTCATTTCTGGGTTTCAGTTTCTTCCATGGCCTAGTCAGTGTGGGTGTGTCACTCAGCACATACCAAGGGCCCCCAAGACCTTTGCCTGTGTCCAGCCCAGGATGCCCAGGGACCCTTGTGTTGCCCTCAGTCTGATGCCCTCTGAAGGCCATAGGCTTCCAAGGGCCTTTCCGAGGAAGAGGTTGGATTCAGAGCTTGAGGGAACTTGAGTGGAGAGTGAGGGGTCCCATCTGGAGCCTTTTCCCTCAGCCTGGAGCAGGGCATGAGAAGGGTATGTGAGTAGACAGGCAGAAGGTGCAAAGGAGGGAAGAGATGGGATGATGACAGCCATGGTGATGCAACTTGGTTCCTGCTCTGGCCCCGCCCCCTGAACCTTACTTCCTGCTCCTACCGGACTCCCACAGACTCTCACTGGCCTGGAATCACACAAGGGTCTCACCAGTCTATGGCCTTTCCACACCCTGTTGTCTATACCCAGAACGGCCTCCCTCTGTCTCTGCTTTCTTTTTGAGATGGTCTCTGTAGCCTAAGCTAGTCCAGACCTCACTGTTCCTAGCCCAGGCTGTTCCAGAGGATTCTTTAGCTTCAGCTTCCAAAGTGCTCACATTACAGGCAAGCACCAACAGCACTGGCTTCTCCCTGTTTCTCAAATGTCTGACTGGTTCTCATACTCCAGGTCCCTCGGGTCCGTCATTACTTATCCCTTCTGTTAGTGGTTCTTTCGGCAATCTGTGACCCTACCACCTTGTTGATTTACATGTTTATCCTCTGGTTTCAAGTTCTGAGCTGTGTCTCCTGTATAATGAATATGGCTTGATACTGGACATGTTTTGTTGAGTGACTTTGTGATTGCAGCTTACAGCAACAATCATAGCTAGTTCTTGTTGCTTGCCTATTTTGGGCACAGCTGTACCCTCAGTGCTTGTACATATTACTTCATTTAATGTTATGATTTATGTGAAGCTGAAACAATTTCCATTTCTCAGATACAGAAACTGAGGACCTGAGAGGTTGAATCACTTAATGATCACTTAGCTGGCAAGTGGGAAGATTTGAATTGTCCCTGACTGGGGTTGGGGGAGGGGAGGACAGGCAGGGAGACTATTTAGAAGGGGAAGTTCTTTCATGCTGATGTCATCTGGTCCCCATGGTCTCACCCTGCTGTCCTGGGAGGATGGGTGGGGCCCACTCTCCCTCTCTGGGCCAACCTTCTTCCCAGAATTCCTGGCATTGGAACATTCTAGGACTCTATGACCTGTGCTGGAGACCTGACGGCCAGGCCAGCAGCCAGGACCTCTTCAAGGTGGGGGCTTCTCTGAATTTGTGGTCCTGCCTGGCTGGGGCCAGAGCTGAGAAGAGGTCAGTAGTAACCATGTCACTTCTGGAAGGTTGGCCATTGACACCTCTCCAGCCAGGCAGGACTGAGTCCCCAGAGAGGGGCAGGGCATATGGAGGACCAGTCTCAATCTTTGGGGAGAGAGGCACCCTTGCACAGTTCCCGCCCCCAAGCCCGAGGACTCCAAGGTGGAGGGTTGGAGCCTGAAACAAGAGGGCCTTGCTGGGCAGTGCAGGTGAAAACTCAGCCCTGGGGCCAGGGAGTTACTATAAGTGGGAAGAGGCTGGCCCTGAGCTGGGGCCAGGAGAGCCTCTGAGGGGGCTGGACATGTAGCTAGTTCAGATGGTGGAGTGCTTGCCTAGTGTGCACAGAGCCCTGGGTTCGATTCCCATCCCCATATAAATTGAACATGGTAGCTGTAATCCTCGCACTTGGAGATTGAGGCCTGTGTGGGCTGCTGGAGACCTCAAAACCAAACCAAACCAAACCATCAAACCTGTAGCTGCACTGTTTAGAAGACAGGCCAATCACAGGGCCACACAAACCTGCTCAGGCCTGTTCCTGTCCCACTGGCCTCCGTGGCTCTGCTCTCCCATCTCCATCCCCAAGCAGATATAAAGGGACACCCCTGGACTTGACTCTGAGCCCAGAAAGGGGAAAGGACTGACCCTCGAGCCAAGGTGGTTGGTCCCACTCTGGCCTGGGGTCTTTTGTATGCCATGCTCCACTCCCTGAATTATCCTTTTTGGATTTTTCAGTTGGTCTCACTTGAGCTGCCCTGGCTCATAGCAGTCCTTTGGCCTCAGCCCATCCCACTCCTGAGCACTGGCATGGCCTTGTAAGAGCCACCATCTTTGTCTGCCTGAATTCTTGCCTCTGAAAGGTCACTGAGAGAAGTGTCCCTCACAGCAGGGAGTGGTGCCTGGGACTAGGTGTGAGTCTGTAGGGAGTGCTTCTCCCCTGGGAACCTTTAGTGGTGACCCACCTGGCACTGAGCTCAGGTCAGCCCCTTAGAGAACCTATTCTGGGCTGTGACCCAGAATAAGGGGGGGTTGATCTGTGCTCCTAGCACTGAAGCCCTGGCTGAGGCACCACCCTCTCACAGTATTTACTGATGTCCTAAGCATGCATGCCACGGTCTGTTTTATGGACACAGAGGTGCTAGCGTAGGGCATTTGTGTGTGTGTGTGTGTGTATACTTGAGCATGTGAGGCCACAGAATAGCCCCAGCTGTTTGTTGCTGTCCCTGGTTTATTTATTTTGAGGCAGAGTCTCTCACTGGGACCTGGGTTCCCTGACTAGTAGGCTAGGCTGGCTGGCCAACCAGCTCTAGAGAAGCTACCTGCCTCTAACCTTCCCAGTGCTGGGATTACAAGTGCACTCCATCATCTTAGCCTAAAAAAAAAAAAAAAGATTTATTAGTTGGGCCATGGTGGTGAACACCTTTAATTCCAGCACTTGGGAGGCCAAGGCAGGTAGATCTCGGAGTTTGAGGTCAGCCTGATCTACAGAGTGAGTTCTAGGACAGCCAGGGCTACACAGAGAAACCCTGTCTCCAAAAACAAAACAAAAAAAGTTTTATTTTAATTCGTGTTTAACTCTGCACATATGTGGTCTGTGTGGGTTTGTGCACATGAATACGGTGCAAGTCAGAAGAGGGCATCGGATGCCCTGTAGCTGGAATTACAGGTGGTGTAAACTGCCTGATATGGATTCTGGGAACTGAACTCAGGTTCTCTTCAAGAGCAGTGAGCACTTTAACAGCTGAGCCGTCATGTCTCCAGCCCCACCAGGCTTTTCTATTAGACATGGATTTTGGGGATCAAACACAGGTCCTTCTGCTTGTGTGACAAGTATTTTACTGACTGGGCCATCACCCCAGCACATGACCTGCCATTTTCTTTCACAGTGGAGATGGAGGGAGGCTGGTAGGTGCCATGGGAGTCCAGTGCTGGCACCTGAGCCAAGGTGTGACTATAGATAAGGTGACCCGGAATGAACCTCTAGGAGTCTCAGTCTGTGCCTCTAATCTGAGGCAGGACCCTGAGAGCTCCCTTCTCTCTGTAGGTCAGCCATGTCATCTGAGCCTCCCCCGCCGCCGCCGCAGCCCCCCACGCATCAGACTTCTGTAGGGTTACTGGATACTCCTCGCACAAGGGATCGCTCTCCATCCCCGCTGCGGGGCAATGTGGTCCCTAGCCCTCTGCCTACCCGCCGGACAAGGACCTTCTCAGCGTAAGTCTCAGGTTGGCCAAGCCCAGTTCCCAAAATAGGGCTACTACCAGATCTAGCAGGATCTACTACCTGTGTATCTCCTAGAAGTACTAGTGAGAAAACAGGAGGGTGCCTTTAAAATCAGAGTGGGGGGGAACTGGCCCCTGACTGGAGTGTTAAGTTTTTGGACTTTAATCAAAGAAGCCTTTTCCCATGAGGCCTTATGTGGGGGGTGGTTAGGATGGAGGGGGATGGGACGAGAGACAGGACAATGACAGTGTCAAGGTAGCCACTGGCCGGTAGAGAATTTAGGCCCTGAGAGAATTTAGGGCCAAGAGGTGTTGCTAACAGTTTCTGAAGGGACACTCCCAACTATGTTAGCTCAGCTCCCGGTTTCCAGATGAACAAACCAGGCCTGGGAAAAATGTGCCACAGTTGCCTGTCACTTCCACTGCGTGAATGGCTCCCAGGGTTGAACACAAAGCCTATGTGTGTGACTGTACATGGTGGCCCCCAGCCAGGTCTTCCTGGGCACAGCTAGGAGGGTAGCTCCAGGGGTGTGGGTGACTCTTGTAGAGGACTGATGGGTGTCCCCTTGCATTTCCCGTCAGGACGGTGCGGGCTTCGCAGGGCCCTGTCTACAAAGGAGTCTGTAAATGCTTCTGTCGGTCCAAGGGCCACGGCTTCATCACCCCATCTGATGGTGGTCCTGATATCTTCCTGCACATCTCTGAGTGAGTTCACTGCTGCATATCTGGAGTTTTGGAGAGCTTGGGGGTGGGAACAGAGGGGTGCTGTTGTGGTCCTATGTATGTTACATGGGACAGTGTAATGGAAAGTGCTGGGCGGGTGTGTCTATGGGGTGTGTGAGGGCTGGGCAGCAGCCCCACGTGTGACAAGAGACTGGGCATGTCTATGAATTGAACGAGGTCTTGGGCGTATGTCCACCACAGATGGTAGGAACAAGGTGAGGACAGTTGTGCCTGGCATGTTTAAGTAGATCTGAGTGTCCCTGGGATCGGGATATGTGTTGGCCTCCTTAGAGGATGGGCCTGGTGAGGCTGGGGGCTGTCTGTTTCTTTTGCTCCAGGAAGGAAGCTCAGGTCTGGGCCCTTTCTCCTGCCACTTGCTCACTGAGGCTCTTCCTTCCTGTCTGAAAGCCTGTAGGAGTCTGGTGGCAGGGGTGCCGGGGTGTGTGTGTGTGTGTGCCAGGGGGTGGGACTGGGGTTCCAGGGGGGGTACCAGGGGGTGGGAGGGTGCCCAGGGGGGGGGGGGGGGGGCCCAGGGGGGGGGGGGGGCCCGGCACAAGGGCCCCAGCAGTCCCCTCCCTGGGTCCTCAGAAGCTTTTGGGTTTCCTAGGAACCCCAATTAGAACCTCTACCAGACCTCCTTCTGTGGCCCAAGCACCCAGTTCACCCTGACTTCATTTTGTCTAAAATGAGGACTGAGTCTGAAGCTTGAGGCACATACTAGACAAGCCTCCTACCAGTGACTGACACCCTGGCCATGTGTCCAGCCTCACTAGGCCAGTGGCAGGCAGAGTCTTTCCCAGAAGTCCCAACCAAGTCTGAAACCACAGTTGGAAAAAAGGGTGGTATTGTACCTCTCTGCTGAGACGGAAGGTCTAGCCCACTCTCCTTTGCCACCCCAGCATGCTTATATACCAGGTCTGTTTAAAAGGCCCTGCATGTTTAAACATGCCAGGTATGTTTAAAAGGCTGCATATGGTGGTGTATGCATCTTAATCCCAGCACATGGAAGGCAGAGGTAGGAGGGTTGGTGAAAGTTTGAGGCCAGCCTGGTTCACACATTGAATTTCAGGCTGGCAAGGGCTACATAGTAATAAGACTCTTGTCTCAAAGAATAAACCAAAATCAAATCCCCCTACCTAGCCCAGAGCTGAGACAGACAGCTGCTGGATGCATTTTACATGTGTATGAATGAATGCATGAATGGGTATATAAACGTCCAGACAGCCTCTTTCCAGGAAGGATTCCAGTGATCTGCAAGCACACATAGTACAATACGGAAAGTAATTACGAAGGAAGCACAGGGCGGGGAAAGGGTGTGCACAGGACGAGCGTGCGTGCGTGCGTGCGTGCGTGCGTGCGTGTGTGGGTGTGTGTGTGATAGAGACGCTGTGAGCTGTCTGAGGTACACTGTTGAAACTAGACTATCGGAAGCTTCCTGGTCCACATCAGAGAGGGGGAATGTGACTGCTCTGAGATCACAGCAAGGCAGGTCCAGGAATGCTGGCCAGCCCTGGTTCTAAGGATCATCAGGATACCTTACTGTGAGACATGATGCACTCCCCACCCCCACCCCTTTCATCCTTTGTACTCTTTGGGGATCTCAATGAAGTGGCCACATCTGCCCACACTGGTCTTCATCACTCTGTAGGCCAGGTAGACCTTCAACTTGCAGTCTCAGTTTCCCAAGTAGCTGGGATTATAAGCCTATGCCACTAGGCTTGGCTTTTTAGGCACTTTCTTGAAGGCTCATTGGGTGAAGAGAGGAAGCCCCAGGACCAAGGGCAGTGTGTAGTGACAGCGGAGGAAAGCTGGTCTCTGAGTCTCTGGCTTTTCTTTTCTTCTTCTTTTTTTTTGGTTTTTCAAGACAGGGTTTCTCTGTATAGCCCAGGCTGTCCTGGAACTCACTCTGTAGACCAGGCTGGTCTCTTACGCAGAAATCCACCTGCCTCTGCCTCCCAAGTGCTGGGATTAAAGGCGTGTGCCACCACCGCCCGGCAAGTCTCTGGCTTTTCCAACCATGGGCTCAGTTCTGATACTCGGATATCCAAGGTGGCTGAGATGTCTTTCAGTCCCAGAGAGGAGCCACTGGGGCCATGACACAAGCTGGTAGAAGGGCAGGGAGGTGCTTGTTTCTAGAAGGGCTCTTGAGTAACTGGGAAGATGAGTCTATCTGGGTGTCCCACTGTGGGGTCTGTGGGGCTGGTTTTCTATGTGCTGTGACTGCTCTGTGTGTGTGTGTGTGTGTGTGTGTGTGTGTGTGTGTGTGTGTGTGATGGAGACACCCACTCGATGTTGGGTGTCTTCATCATTCTCCACCTTTAGTTGTTTTCTTCCAGTATTATGAGTATTTGCCTGAATGCCTGTAAGCACCTCAGGCACACCTGCTGTCTGCGGAGGCCAGAAAGAGGGGCTTGGATCCTCTGGAACAGGAATCACAGGTGGTTTGTGAGCTGCCACGTGGTTGCTGGGAACTGAATCCAGGTCTTCTGCAGGAGCACACACCATGACTCCAGTGCAATCTCCACCTTATTTGTTGAGACAGGGTCTCTCACTGAACATGAACTAACTAATCTGTTAGGCTAGCTGGCCAGCCAGCACTGTGGATCCTCCTGACTCTGCCTCTCCAGCACTGGGCAAGTACACTCCACCATACCTGGCTGTTTTACATGGATGCTGGGATCTGAACTCGGGTACTCATGCTTGCAAGGTAGGTACTTTCTGGCCTGAGCCATCTCCTCAGCCCTGACAACCACTCTTTTCTCTCCTGCAGTGTGGAAGGGGAGTATGTTCCGGTGGAAGGCGACGAGGTCACCTATAAGATGTGCTCTATCCCGCCCAAGAATGAGAAACTGCAGGCTGTAGAGGTGGTCATCACCCACCTGGCACCAGGGACCAAGCATGAGACCTGGTCCGGGCACGTCATCAGCAACTAGGGACCTGCAAGAACCCTTCTCCTGGGCTTGAGGGAGACTTTGGGGGAAGGAGGAGCAGGGCCACCCTGGATATAACATTCTACCACACAAAGATGGGGGCCTCAAGGCGGGCATGGCCCCTTTCAAGCATTTCCTGGAGGGAAGGAGTTGCGGGCCACCAGTGCAGCCTCCAGCCATTGCAACAAGCTCTCACTGTCTGAAAAGCATTAAAAGCATTTGAAAAGGAGAGGCACCTTCGGAGGCTGAGTGGAGAGGGTGCAGTCCCAGCCCAAGGCACCTGGGTAGGCCAAACATGCTATTTTCCCAAATGCCCCCTTCAGATCAAGCCCATCCAGACTATTCCTGGAACTAGAAACAGAAATCCTCAGATCTATTTGGCCCGCTGAGGAATGTCACCAGCCCTATGAGACTTTCCATGACCCAATGCCCTAACTTGGGACCAAGTCAGTTCAGCTTCAGAACTGGCTTATGTATGTGGGGAGCTTCCCAGGGGACTCTGCCTCTTGGTGCCTTTGTAGCAGGTGTGTCTCTACTTTCTCGGAAAGACTCTAACCCTTAGGAGCTCTGCCCTAGTACAGTAGCCTGGGGCTGGGCACCGATCCCACTCCAGAGAAGGCTGGTCTTTCCCACTTGCTGCTAGGGGATAAGGCAGCCTCCATGTGGCCTTAAGGCTATCATTAAAGTAGTGCTGAAGGTGGCTGTGGGGGTGGGGAAGAGACCTCTGCAGGAAGGCTCTAGAGGGGAGGATAGTGCTTTATTTAAAAACAGAATCCAGGCTAGTGGTGCATGCCTGTAATCTCTGCTCTTAGCAGGCTGAAACAGCATTCTAGGCCAGCCTAGGCTACAATCAATGTCTCAAAACAAGGGCTGGGGATATAGCTCAGTGGTAATGAGTGCTGTATTTAGCCCAGCGTGTGCAGGAGTCTCCGTTCCACTGCTAGCATAAACCCTAGATGTTGACACTGACCCACAGAAGATAGGCAGCTTGCTTTTTGATGGCCTTGTAAGGTTAGGAGTTGAAGGAGAAATAATAACTCTGATTGGAAATCAAAAGTATATTCTTTAAGACAGGCCTAATAAATGCCTAAGGATCTTTTTTCCCCTCTTCCCAGTGCTTGGGGAGCCCAGAGCCCCGGAAATGGAAACAGCACAGAGCTACAATGAAGCCTCTGCTTTCTTTTCTGGGTGTGTGTGTGGGGTTGGGTGTGGGCATGTGGAATACAGGCTCCTGCTGCAAAGCCCAGGCTAGCCCCAAACTTAGAACCTTTCATGCCTTGGCTTCCTACTTGCTGGGGTCACAGGTGTGCCTTAATTCCCTGCTGACTTCCTTTTTAATAGCTCAGACTCCCACAGAGCCCTCTGTTTGCCCCTGCCTGCCAACACTGGAGATCTGTGCTTCAAATGAACTGGTCCCTAGGCTTTTTGGTGGTTGGCTTTAGTGTGATTCAAAAATAGTAGTTGAGAACTCACTTGTCAGAACAGGGATGCCAGTTCTACAGTGGCGGCTGGACTGAGGGCTGCAGCCAACCTAAAGGTACAAAGGCTGTGACTTTCAGACATAAGGGTCAGTGACACAGCTTGGTTGGTAAAGTGTTTGAAGAATGAGTTCAATCCCCAGAAAAAGCTAGGTGTAGCGTTGCACAATTAGGTAGTACCAGATCTGGGGAAGCTGAGCCAGAGAACCTATTCTTTTCTTCTAGCACCTAAGAAATGAACGAAAACAGGTTGTCTCCTGGTTTCCACATGCATGGGAACACAAAAAATATGTGGATACACTTGTTAGGCTCCCCACCGCTACCCAGTGTGACCATCTTTGTTGTTGAGCTACTGATGGGCTTTTTTTTTCCCTAGTCAAAGGTGGCCTTTCCCCCACACCAGGCTTGGCTTACCGCCCAGAGGCTCTCTTGGGGGCCAAGGAACAGAAGGACAAACCCACATTTGCCATGACCTAAGAAGGCTCCCTGAGACTGAACCTTCTGTCATCTCGTTGTTCCTAATGATCAATACAGCTTTGCTTTCACTGTGGTATGGTTAGACTTTGTGTAGCACATGGTTGACTCGCTAGTGAGCCCTGCCCCCCACCGAGCTGGCAGCCCAGTTCTGCTGGCAGGATGGCCTCTGGATTCTTCTGCCCCACAGAACCCTTTGTAAAGGGCTTTTCTTGTATGGTCAAATCACTTCACCCTGTAGACTTATTCTGGAAATGCAAGGAGTTGGAAAAGCCCCACTTTGTTCAGAGTGTCAATTTATAGATGAGGAAGAACCCCAGCACCCAGTGCTGGAGACTGAACAGGAAAGAGACTAAACCCCCAAATCTAGATGTTTGAGCCCATAAGCCAACTCTTTCTCAATAAAGTTTGTTTTGTGCAAGATGAGGTGACTAAAGGCTGTGTCACAGATACGCCTGTGTGAATGCGGAGGGGTTCTGGGAGGTCAGAGTGCCTGCCAAGCACATGGCAGACATTCTCTGCGGTGTGCTTACAACCGATGAGGTCCCGTCACTATCCAACCCAGGAAAACTGGGCTCTGGAACAGTTTGTTAATGTGGATTATAGGCAAATGCCCTGTGGTGGCACGTGGGGTGTAGGTAAATGTGAGAAGGGTCTTTGGGGTTCTTGTTGCAGATGTTTGAAGGGGGCCTTGAGGCTCTCCAGGGACCATGTGGGGGAATGAGAGGAGGCTGCCCCTCCTATAGGTCCTGTGGCTCAGAACAGCTGTCTTGGAGCAGAGGAGTGGCAGGTTGGTGATAGGGTAATGACAGCCCAGGGTGGGGTGGCTTTAATGACAGCCCAGGGTGGGTGGCTTTACCAAGGGATGGGGCTTTTGATGCATCTGTGACTCTCCCAGTGGTTGGGAAAATAACCAGCCCATCAAGCCTGTTCAGGGAAAGGCCAAACAAGATGAGATGATTCCATTAAATCATCCCTGGGTTTCTCCAAGTTGACTGGTGTGACAGTAGGTGTGCCCAGCCTCGGGGAAGGAAGAGGAAAGTGAGTCAGTGCTGTGCATGCCTAGATGGCCTAGGAGCTAACATAATGACTTTGCTCCTCAGTACCTCTGTCTTCCCACCAACATGGTTGGAGACACCTACGGTCACACAGAGCCTCTACATGGGAACCAAACATCTTGTTAAATTTCCTGTTAGGCTTTCTTGGGGCTTCCTAAAAGTTGGTGATCTTGAGTCCTGGATGGGCAGCTAGTGCAGGACTGATGACACCCTCTCACACAGCCCTGGGATGCTTAGGTACAACCTCTGCTTGCTTTTTGGGATGTAGTCTTTACCCAACTTTCTGGGTTTTTTTCCCAAGTCCTTTAGAATCCCTACTTGGTAGTACTGCACTCTTGACAGAGGCCAGAGCTTGCCTTGAGCCACAGCTGTCCAGCAGAAGTAGCAGAAGTAGTCCGTGGACCTGGGCAGCCACACCAGTCCCACCAGCAAGGCCACACATGTATGACTTAGCCATGATCATGCAATGCCTAGAGAGCAGAGTCCCTTTATTAGGCGGGAGAGTTGAATGAAGACAATGAGGGAGGGGGTCTGTGACAGCCACTGTAGGAACTGGCAAGGCCTGGAGTCTACCTGGCACAGTGGGAGGCACCGGACCTGCAGGTAGAGCACAGCCTCTGGGCTGGCTGCGAACTGCTACAGCCAGGACAGCTAGGGGCTCCAACATCACTAGAGTGGAGTGGGGAAAGACGCTCTGAGAACCCAAGTTCTCTGCAAACCTGGGATAGATACCCATTTGACATGAGGGTTAAAGTGATCAGACTGAGAAGCGAGGAATGGTGCTGTCCCTTCAGCACCATGTATGTGTTTCATAAAATCCAAGGGATGCCACAGGGTGAGGTCCTGGCACTCTCCTGTGGGGTTGACAGAGGTGAAGGGGCCAGCAGCAGGTGCCAGTGTGGGCAGCCAAGGGTAGGGCAGTGGAAGCACATGGTGTCTGGAGGCAGGAAAGGGCGGGCAGCAGAGGCTCCTGAGGAGGAACCAGGCTGCAGAACCGTTTACTAGGCACTGGAAAGCTGCCTGGGAAGTGTTCTTAGAGGGCTGTCCCTGAGGTTCTGGAGGAGGCATGTGCACCCTCCAAGAAGAGGCCAGAGAGCATGCTCCCACTGCTGTTGCCACCAAGCTGTCTCTGATGCCTCAGGTCTGTTACCTGGGTCGGTCAGCTTGGGGGTTAAAGAGGACCGCAGACAAGGTTCTGCTTCGCTGGGTCCTCTGTCCTACCATCCTGCTGGTGACAGGAGAGCAGTCTGGCTTTAAGATGTAGCAAATAGAGATGGCCAGGCCAATGGAGGGACAAACTGTGGGATCAGTTGTCACTTGGCCAGCTATCTCTCAGGCAGGCCACACTGTGGTCTGCAGCTCACAGACAGGAGGCTGGCTTGAAAACAAACATTAACCCTTTCGCAGAACAGTGGCTTCATGCCCCAGCCTCCACCACAGCCTGCAGACTGGGAGCATATCACAGAAGTCTTCAGTTCTATCCCAGATGGGTAACTCTGGATGGCTTGACTCTTTCATCATCGGATGCCCCTGTTTGGTGGTAAGATACGAGTCTGAACACTGACAGTTGCAGGTTTTCTTTAAACCTTAGCTGGTGTTGGTGCATGTAATCTGCATTTGTAAGGCAGAGGCAGGAAGACCCTGAACTCAAGGCCCACCTGGTCTACACAGCAGGTTCTGGGGCAGCCACAGCTACACAGTGAGACCATGTTTCAAAATAGAATCCCCCTGCCCCAAATCCACCACAACCACCCGAACCTACACCTTAAGTTCCTCAAAGGATAATGGACCCAGGTACATTCTTATTTTTTCCTGTATCATATGATGGGAAATTTTCAAAGGGCAGCATGTATTCTATCAGCTAGCTCTTAGACCATGGGTGGGGAGAAGGGACTGGCAGAAGTTACTTCTGTCTCTGAGGTCCCTAAGGTGTAGGCTGGGATCCATGCTAGGCAAGTGTCCTACAGGCTATACCCCAACCCAAAGCCACCATCTTTTTGTTTTGAGACACGGTCTCATTCTGTACCTCAGGCTGGCTTCAAAGCACAGATTACACACACAAGCCATGATACCCAGCCACAGCCATTTCTGATAAATTCTTTCTCTTGGGGCTGCTGCTGGTTCTGGATGAAGGTGCGGCCTATTGGCAAGCCCAGTGAGCTGACCTCTAGCTCCCGTGTGATTGGACCCACTAAGAACAGAGTCTGGGGCCATGCACATGTGTGGAGGGACTTCCACTCTGACCCTAAGTGACCCCTGACCCTTAGTGACCTTTCAGTGTTGTTGTCTGGTGTTACGGGAAGAGCTCCTCACAGATCCTGCTTGTGTCTTCGGGTGCTGTCACTGTGTAGCCCACAGTTCTGGGGTCTGTGAAGATCTCATGGTCATTACCACCCTGTAGAGAAGGACAACAGAAGCAGAAGGCTACGGCTCTGTCCTGGTCCATGGCTGCTGCAACTCTAACAGTCCTAGCTTAGTGACATTCCTTCAGTTAACCTTCCCATGGTTTCCAAGAAAAGGATGACATTTTAGTTGCTATGAGCAAGTTGTCTAACCTTCTTGTGAACTGCAATCGAGCTCAGAAAAGGTAATTATGCTCACGAAAGTCATCAGGCCGCCTTTGTGAAGATCTGTCTAAGGCTTATTTTTCTAGTGAAAAGCACAGTAAATGACAGTATCCCCTAGCTATCAATTTGTCTTTGTGCTCACATTTCTTCTGCAAGTCACAGGAGTGTTGGTGGGTAGGCAGCCTGGAGTGGGGCTGCTTACACCGTGACAGTGAACATGGCTGCTCAGTCTGCCCACGGCCACTGGCCACATAGGACAACTGAGCACTTGAATTGTGGCCAGTAAGAGAGGGGGACGGAATTGAATTATTCAATTGTGTGGTCTATGTGTTTATAGGCAGAGGTTGACTGGGTGTCTTTCTCAGTTGGTCTCCATCTTATTGAAACAGGGTCTTTCAATGAACCAGCTAGATTAGCTGGCCAGGGAGTCCTAGGATCTACTTGTCTCTGTCTCCCCGGTGCCGGGATTATAAACACCACTATGCCAGGCTTTCTACATGGGTGCTGGGGATCTGAAAAGGTTGAGATTGTGTGGCAACTATGTGACCATAAACCATCTCCCCAGCTTTGAGCTTATTCTATCAGCAGCAGCAGCAGCAGCAGCAGCAGCATCATTATCAGCAGCAGCAGCAGCACCATCATCATCTTGACCAAGTTAGGCTGGCCTCAAATTTAAGTCCTCTGCTTCAGCCTCTCTAGGGCTGGGATTACAGACACAGGTCTCTGTCATGTGACTTTAATGAAACTGAAATGGCCCAGTGACAGTATCAGAGCAGACAGGAAGAAAGAAGGCAGGGTAGGGACTACAAAGTAGGCAGCAGTCTGAGTGAGCCCAGCAGCAGGCTGTCTTTTTTGGTTTTTGTTTTGATTTTTTGAGACAGGATCTTTCTGTATAGCCCTGGCTGGCCTGGCACTCACTGTGTGGATCAAGCTGGCCTTAAACAGAGATCTACCTGCCTCTGCCTCCCAAGTGCTGGGACTGAGAGTATGAACCACCGCCCAGCCACAGGCTGCCTTCTCCTGCTGTGGTCTCCTTGCTGAGCAGAGCAGTGTTTTGGCCTGGTCCAGGCCTGCTTGTTTATTTGCCTTCTGTTGCCCAAGACAATGTCCGGAGGCTGCTTCCTATGTTTTCTAAGGGGGTTTGCCATGTCAGCTCACAGATAAACAACCAAGCACAATGAACCACAGGCTCGCATTCACAAAGGCATTACTTACAGTGACTGAGAGAATAGAATTTAAAGTCTGCCAATGGACGGATTAGTAAACTGCGTACCCATACAGTGCAGGATTACCTAGCCTTAAGAAAGGAAATTCTTATTGTTGTAAGGATGAATCTGGAGGATGTCACACTAAGTAATGTAATCCACTGTCACCAGGACCCTGCTGGAGGCTGACCTTGGACAGGGCTCATCTTGACAGGGTGAGCAGCCGTCACAGGGACCAGAGCTCCATGGCTGGAGCATTTATGATGGATGGCCTCCTGGGTTCAGAGTGGCTGCCATGCCTGAACCAGGATCCTACAACAGGGTGACAGGGGCAGTGCAAGGAGACGTGACAAAGACAACCAGAGACCCAAGCCCAAGCCCAGGCAGAGAGTAGCTGGTACTCAAGTCCATCTTATGCCTTGGCTGGTGGTAGTAAGGAAGTACTTGTGTAGGGAGAGCTTCACAGTGTTGCCAAAGCAGCTACACTGGACCCTTCTCTGGCACTGGCCTTTCCTTCGGGGCCCCGCTTATTCGCTAGCTCAGACCTCATCTATGCTGACTTGGCTTTCTGCAAGCTCTCCCTGTCAGTCTGCA